CCGTTCAATTGACAGCTTTGTGAATACTGTAGATCACTGAAGGGAGACATAATCTCAAATAGAGCATGGATTCGAAAGTGTACCGACACCGCTGCAGAATGAACAATATGAAACAGGATCAAGATTTGAAAGCTATGCAGGGACCATTAAAATCCATCGAGATATTTTCTATCAATTCGATTATTTATTGAATTCAAACACAAATGTGGCTTTAGATAAGCGAACCTCCGATGGATTTTCTTTTGCATGTTCCTTATCGGCAGATACAGAACATGTTCACGTCTAAAACCAATCAAAGTCAATTAGATCGCTAAAATTATCTCAAAATAAATTCAGGCTATTTGGATAAATGTATTGACAAAATGTTGGCATTACACTGTGTACCCTCAACCCACCACTTTGAAAATCGTTTGGTTTTTCAGCGCTTAATTTTCTACTGCATTCATCATAACGGAATAGTCAAATTGTCTCAAATGACACCATAGTTCCACAAAATAATATCAACAAGCAAAATCCCATTCAGGCTTGTTCTCATTTCTCCGTTGAGGTCCTACGCAATGTTTGCCTCTACTCGTAGAGCTCTAAAGGAGGAGGGAAAGTATCACAACAGATTTCCGACAGTCATGGATTTGGGTTATTTTCTGAGGATTTAAACAGGCGCATATGTTAGGCCAATGCATTACCTCCAAAAGCACTCACAGAGACGATAAAATAATTTTGACTTTGAGACAGGGAAGATGCAAACAGCCCACCCACATGTTTTCTCTGAAATGTTTTCCTGATTTTCAACCCCTTCCACCCCTGCTTTTTTAATTTTTGTTGCATCAATAGGTTGTGTTTTGACATGCAGCTAACCCCTCTAAAGGAATAAGTGATTCCGTCAGGGGTTTTAAAGATATCCATTATGGGTGACCAAAATTAAGCTGAAAGCAATGGATCACATGGGAAAATAACATGGGAAATCAACCACACCCGGACAGCTTTAATGAAAAGGGTGTATTTGACTACTAACACACTAAGGGTATGCACACCAGACATCAATCACACCCCGACAGCTTAAATGAAAAGGGTGTATTTGACTACTAACACACTAAGGGTATTCACACCAGACATCAATCACACCCGGACGGCTTTAATGAATAAGGTGTAGGATGTATTCACACCATACATCAATCACACCCGGGCGGCTTTAATCTGTAAAAGAGCATACAACATGATCCATAAATTTCCTGTTAATAATGTAGGATAATAGGATGTCAAGTAAAAAATACGAGACGTGTCACTTACTAATCCATTCTTCTCTTCCAAGTTAAGGCAGTCGTGTTAAATCACTGACAAGCTTATTAATCAGAGCAATTGGAATTGCTTTAGGCTCATAATGTCCCTGGATGCTGGTGTGCCCAGTTTCAATTAGAGTGTCCAGAATAAGATTTTCTTTAATTGAAAAGAGCCGACGGTGGCACCTAGATTTGTTATTGGGATTACATTGAACTAATTGGTCAGTCAAATTAAATGTTAAGGCATTTTAAATTACTTTAAGTGTTCTTGTGATGCCCAACGGGAATACATTCTCGGATTGACCGATGCAGAGGACGTACTAATGGTTCACTTTGGGGGATTTGCCCGCTATGGGATGATCAGTTTCAAACGAAATACATTTAGTTTCCCGATACATATCTTTTAGAACTTCTTTTTGGATTCGGATTTTGTGATCTGAACGTTTTGAGAGGCTATGTTTCTTTTCTCATATGGTCATTGTGATTATTTCCAAGCAGTATTTGGGATATTCTGGGATGTTGCAATCTACTTAGGCAAAACATGCAGAATGTCACCACTTCCAATTTGTTACACAAAAACGTCGGAGAATCAGACTGTAACAATATGTCAGCACTTGTGGTGGTGACATAAAAATCGATATCTTTGGGGCAATATTTTAGAAGTCTAAATACCGATTGAACAATTAGATGCTTTTTAATTCATAATATGCACATACACACCCGGTGATCGGAAGAAATGAACGGAGGAGGAGTACCTGATTTTCACAAGAAAATTAAACAAATCTGGAACATTTATTTTTTCAAGAGAAAGTTTGCAATTGAATTGCTAAATGAATCGGCGCACGACACGGGGAAATTTGTTAGGTCTTCTAAGATTTCTTTTGGACTGGAAGATTCTAAGATATGAGACTTATTAAAAACGTGCAAACACCAATGTTTCTGCTATAAATCAAGCAACAATAGTCTAAACTATCTCAGTAATAAATACTTACAAGTGACGTTTTTATCACAAAACTATTGGGATCGTTAGTTTTGTAAAATACGTTACCATACGTTGTATAAAAGATAATCGAACATAATTAAAATTGAACGGAGGGGTGGGGGAGTGAACTGAGGGGGAGTGATGTATCAGTATAAGACATATGATAAGAGTTGTAACTTGACTTATTTCGAATAACATCCAGTTGTTACTGAGTTCATTTTTTTTCAAATACACGAATTCGCGGAAAATTCGTCAACTTTAAAGACATATTACCCCCCCCCCCTTCGTTCACCAACCCCCTCCGTTCAATTTCAAATTATTTCTATCTAACGCATTGAAACTTATTTTTAAAAACCAGCAATGATTTAGTGATAAAAATGTCACTTGTAAGTATTTAATACAGGTATATTACATTATTGCTTGATTTATAGCAAAATACATTGGCATTTGCACGTTGGTGACGTTGCGCCTTATAGATCGTATATCTTAGAAGCCTATCAGTTCTAAAAATCATAGTAGACCTAACATAGTCCCCCGTGTCGTGTGCCTATTCATTTAGCAATTTAATCGTAAACTTTCTCTTGAAAAAATAAATTTTCTAGATTTGTTAAATTTTCTAGCTAAAATCAGCTTCCCCCTCCGTTCATTTCTTCACCGGACGTGATCTAAAAATACCTAATAAAGTGCTGGGAAACCAATCAACTCCAGATGCTCATTCTTAAAACGTCTCTGAACATTTGAAATCAATTTCTCAGAAATGAATCAGCTCCACATTTCTACATATTGATAACAAGATACAACCTAGCAAAACAATTCCTAAATTGGTTTGACTGGAAACTCTTAGACGAGTTGACTTCAGATTGTGCTTTTATTTGTTATAATATTGAAATGTAATAATATTCAAAATACACAACATGGTATCGTTGTTGTATGATCACTATATCGCTACAGGAGTTCCTTGGACAACATTGTGATTTGAAACTCAGACTAAGATACTGATGTATAAAAGCATTTATTTATTATTCATTATTATTTTAAGCATTTTAAAGTTCTGATATAAAGTAACTTCTTGTAGAGGGTGACCCCAAAAACTGCAACCTCTATTTCCTAGGTAACCCTGTATTTCAAAGAAAAATAATGTTTAGTTTATTTTATTTGGAACAAATAAAAGGCATGAGGCCCATACTTTTACAAAAATAATACAATACATTTTTACATCAATTAGGTCGCTCCTGTCTTAGAAAATTATCAAGTTACATAAAAAAGTCATTAATATTTGTTGTAGGCTTTTGTTGTTGTTAAGGCTGTACTTTTTAATTATAAACCTTGTTCTGTTTTAACTAGTAATGATTAATACACAACATTATATGCACTGCAACATGTTCAAGCTGACTGACTTTAGCATTATTTTACAATTATTTGTATTATTACCAATTATTAATTACAATTCTGTTCAATATTCTACAATGACAATGGCACATAAGTCTTTAAAATCATGAAAACGGACAATGATTAAATGTAAAAAATAAAACACTTCAAATTGTTAAAAACATGTTCAAAGTTTTGAAACACAAACCAAGATAATGATGAAAAAACTACACTAAAATAGCTAACCAACTCGTTTTTGCATCATCTTCATGAGAATTGTTCAGTTTGCTGATTTTTCTCTCGTCAGCTAACCTGCCTACCCCCCTGTACCCCCCCCCCACTCACCACCTGTCCAGTGGCAGAGGAATGCAAATAACTCACTACAATAAAACCAGCATATCCAAACACCTTGTATATCCAAACACCACATTTATCTGAACACCTCTATACATGTATATGTTTTGGTCCCATTTTTTAATATGGCAAGATTAGCATTAATAGAAAAATGTGTGAACACCTGCCAATGCACACATTTTGGTCAGTCTTGAGGGCACCTAGATAAGACAGGTTTTACTGTACTTTTTAATTATAAACCCTGGTCTAATGTTACTTTAATAAAATTACACAAGCAAATCATCACTTACACAAGGAAAATTGTAAGTCATTAACATGGCAAAACATCACATCATTTTTGCAGTTACTAAAATGAAACCATTCGTTACAATAAAATAAAAAATTTGTGACGTGGATCACTTTCTGGACACCCTGTAATTCAATTTAAAGTCACTAAAATCATAGCACATATACAATTAGAAATAATAATAAAAGTATGTCACTGCTTTTAATTCATTACTTAATAATTTCCCTATGGAAACAAAATAGTGTTTTTTCTTACTTCTGGTAATGGCAAACAACTCCATCTCATCTAAAATAGCAAAATATTCATTTTAACATACACCTAAAAGCATTGGAGAAAAGAGACACTAAAAGTTTGTCACTTGAGGAGATACTTCTTACTTCACCGACTTATGGATTCAACCATTTTGTTTCAAGAATATCACAAAGGAAATATATTTGACAGCTTCACTTCAGGATTTGAATGTTGAATTTTCTGTTAATAAACTGTTAATATAAGTAACATTCACCATATTTGATGAACAATTATTTCTATTGTTGGAATGCACCAACTGATATGCATATGATATTGATCCATTCGTTTACTCCATGTAAGCCATTTGGTCCATTCACTTTGAAAATACCAATGAATGTCTCATTGGTTGAGTCACTAGTTTGAATATCTTCTCTTGAAGCATGACGATGTATTATATATCCATCCACTGTATTATATTTGGTTTCCTTTAAAAACTGGTCTCTCCAGACTATAGGGTGGTTGATGTTACTGGATGTATACCATGTACCAAAACTGTTGGAGGGAGGTCTACAGTAAGCATGTCTAGGCACTCGTGGTATCTCTTATATCCTCCTATAGACTGAGGTGGAAGAGGTAAGTACATAAAGGTCACTGCTGTGTTATCAGTTTGCATTTTAATCATATCATTAACATTACGTAAATACTCATCAGGAGTATGCTCAAATACACTAAGCTGGTTATCATTGGAGCCTGCAGCAAGCCTTATTTGGTCATCTTGTATTTGATCAGCCTCAGCCTCTGATTGGTCAGATAAACACGCTACATGCTCCCAGGATATGCACTTTATCTGAGCTTTAATCCTCAGTTTCACTAACAAGTCCTGTAAAACTTTGGTTTTCTCGATGCTATCGCCATTTTGTGAGTTGATGCACAGGAAGATGCGCAAAATTGTGTGACTTTTCCATCCAGACACCATATTGAGAATACACGCAAGCTGAAGGACGAACAGACTGGTGTTATCATATTCTCCCACTCTCTTGGGCCAGAAGAAGTTCACTGGCCAGACATCAATAAACATAGGATTTTTGGATTTCATAATCGTGTCTTTGTCCATACGATGGAAATGTCTACAAAGGCAGACATTTTTCTTAAATTTCACTGCATCTGCTACAATATGGATATACTCCTCAATGGAAAGATCTTTAGACTCACCATACTTTCGTAAATCAGGAAAATTATCTTCAAATGTCCAATCTCCACTTTCATCAAACAATGGGAATTTGATCCTCCTTCTTTGACCTCTTCCTTTGTGCTTAACTATTGAGTCTTCTGGGATGGAGTTGTCATAGAAACCAAGGCAGATTGTGTTAGGTTTCATACCACCCAGCCCTGATAAATGAACTAAATGGTGCACCCCCTCGCGTACAGTTTTGGCTATTGTCAGCTCTACAAATGCTTTAATCTTCAGCTTATCAACTAGACTCAACCAGACAGAAAGTTCCCCTTGCACAGGGTCAGCCTCTAGTTCATCAAAGTCCCCCAGTTGTACATGTCCAAGTAAGTAAAGTCCTCCTTTCTTCATATTGTTCACAAAGTCAATCAACTCACAGCAAGTCCTGGGATTGGACACTAAAAGCAGAATTTGAGGTCGCCAGAATTTGACGTGGTCCTTTCTCATGTCCAGCATAAGTAGGTATTTCCTGACCTGATGGAAGATGAGCGCCTGAGAGATGTGGCCCCAACTGGTGGGCATGGAGCGGAGGTGAAGGACGACACACAGCACCGTCAGCAACATGATCGCAATAGAGGCGTATATGGGGTTGACGAGGAAGCACATGACTAATGACCCAATTATTCCAAGGACGCAACTGTGCCAGCTGAAGAAGTTGAAAGTAGGTCTGGAAGAAGATAAACATAAACTGATTAATGTTAAATGTTTTGAAAAATGCATGTACATGTAAAGCAGTATCAGCAATGAGCAAGTGGGAGCTGACTCATTTGAGATTTTAAAAATATGCTTGCAACATTGTGAAATCTTATTTCCACCCACTTAAAATGAGATAAATTGAGAATGATTCATGGCATAGTTTGTCCAACTTTGGTTAGAATTGTGAAAAGAGAAGTTTGCATATCTTGAACAAAACATTCTGGGAAGAACTCGATAACAATTTAGCATTTTCCAAAATGAGTAGATTCATTAATTCTTATGGAGACCTGACGTACGACTTAAATCAAACCACAAACTTTCAGAAATCATTGCCTTGCGATACTATAAATTGCAAATACTAATGATTACATAAGCATCAAAAAGATATTTTAAACTGCAAAGAATAGCATACACTGAAGTCCACAAATAGAGATTCCATGTATAAAACATGAATGAAAAAATGTAACTACTAAATAATTTTGCTATTATAAAACTAAATCTTAAATCAATATAATTTAATAATCAGTTACCTGAAGTTGGGAGCAGAGGCAAGTTCCAGAGCAAGACATGCTACATTGGTGGCAGCGTAGGCAAGTAGGAAGAACACGGATGTGATTGGAGCAATAGCATTGAGCGAGCCAATCAGAAGGACAACTTGGACAAGGAACCAAGAGATGATGACTGCGACGTAAGGATTGCCTCCCTTGGTTGCTATGGTAGCAGGCCTCAATAGCATCCCTGCATCAATAACATGAATGTCTTCAATTTTGCTGCATGTTATATTATATGAAAGACTTCCAGAGTGTCTGTATATGCCATCTATTCTCAATTCTTTGAATCTTTAATAGGCTATAGAACTACATTTATATTTTAGGAGCAGGTTCTTTGGGCACTGTTCTTTATCATTGACAAGTCCATATACATGTAGTATGTTCTAATGTTACACAAGAATAAATTGAGAAAAATCATAATTTAAATTGAAAGAATGATACTAGTATTCAAAAAATTATGGCAGTGAGTATACATAGGCTTTACGAGGTATCAGAATGGAACAGAGAACAGAACATATTACTTACAAAAGACATCATCTTTAGCCAGAGCCTCCAATATTCTAGAAGCTCCTATCAAGTTACCAAGTGCTGCTGAGAGAGTTGTTGCAAACACACCAATCACAACAAATGGTGGCCAAAAGTTGATCTGCTGAAGAAAGTTGTAGTCATTCTGCAGCAGATACCTGTCAATTGGGAGATTTTAGAAATTATATTTTGCACACTTAATGTGCAAAGTGAACATGTTGGCCGAAATTATTTTCCTTAACAATACACTGTTCAAGTGGAAAACCTCTTCGTTGCTACTCTTTCTGTTAATGTCTAAGAAGTTCATGTAAACTTCAGTGTATATATATATATATAATATGTATTGTCTATGTATTATAACATGCTGTAGTCACCAAAGGTACTTGGCTAAACAATGAATATAGCATTCAATAAAGGGAATATATTAGATATTTGAATATTAAATACCTGTCTCCCATTCCCAAAAGTCCAATTGCCCAGCTGAATCTAGATTCCTTTTAGGACTAACTTTGAGGCAAATATCACTCAGTGTGTAAGAGAAAATGGGAGGGGTTAAAGCAAGATGTTAGTTGTACCTGTCACATGTGAGAGCCACAAATATTGCCATGACAATGTAGGCACAGAATGTGAAGAAGGTTGCCAGCAGAGTCCCCTTGGGTATTGAAGCACTGGGATCCTTAAGTTCTCCTAAAACAGACCATACTCTATATTATGACATGTCTATTAATACCTTATAACATACAATGTAGACACAGAATGTGAAGAAGGTTGCCAGCAGGGTCCCCTTGGGTATTGAAGCACTGGGATCCTTAAGTTCTCCTAAAACAGACCATACTCTATATTATGACATGTCTATTAATACCTCATAACATACAATGTAGACGCAGAATGTGAAGAAGGTTGCCAGCAGGGTCCCCTTGGGTATTGAAGCACTGGGATCCTTAAGTTCTCCTAAACAGACCATACTCTATATTATGACATGTCTATTAATACCTCATAACATACAATGTAGACGCAGAATGTGAAGAAGGTTGCCAGCAGGGTCCCCTTGGGTATTGAAGCACTGGGATCCTTAAGTTCTCCTAAAACAGACCATACTCTATATTATGACATGTCTATTAATACCTCATAACATACAATGTAGACGCAGAATGTGAAGAAGGTTGCCAGCAGGGTCCCCTTGGGTATTGAAGCACTGGGATCCTTAAGTTCTCCTAAAACAGACCATACTCTATATTATGACATGTCTATTAATACCTCATAACATACAATGTAGACGCAGAATGTGAAGAAGGTTGCCAGCATGGTCCCCTTGGGTATTGAAGCACTGGGATCCTTAAGTTCTCCTAAAACAGACCATACTCTATATTATGACATGTCTATTAATACCTCATAACATACATTTTTGAAAGTGAGACAAAGATTAGTGAATATTCATTCCCTATTGTCCACTTATTAATTTATTGATGAAAATGTAAATACCAATTTCAAAATTCAATTTCTTAGAATAAAGTAAGCTCCAAACTAGATCCTGCCAACTCTACTTCTAAATAAGACCAAAGAAGCTGAATTCTTATCACTGCATTTTATCTGTACTTTGATCTATTTGTTTGACTAACCAAAAATTATATTCCAATCTTTGACAGCATTACAAATATTGCATAGTGACGTACCAAATGAAAATTCACTATAAACAAGTCAATAACATACAAAATGTCACCACCTGCCATTTATTACAGATGCCATGTTACAAACGTTAAATGCCATCCACAAAAAATGGAGACTATAACAATATGTCAACACTTGGGGTGGTGACATAAAAAGGCCATCCTGTGTGTTCTTACCTGACATATTTGCCCCATTCATGATGCCAGTTACACTGCTGAAGAGAATGGCAAAGACTGTTGTAAATGACATCATCTTTAAGGTATCATAGTCCTCGGAGTAACCCGCTGAAAAATGAAAAAAAACAGATATCATATCATACAGTGATTTATAATCTCGAGTTTATATAGAGGTAACAAATATCTGCTTCTTGGGATAAAATGAAGTTCTTTATACTTTCAAACTTTAAAAGACTATTTGGGACTTGGTTGCCTTTGAATAAAATCTGCAAAATGGCCAGATGAAGTAAATATATTGTGCAGATTTTTCAACTTGGCAGTCAATTGCCGATTTATGATAGGCCTAATACTAGAGTGGTCCCTAATTTGTCTACTCAGACATATAGATTTTTCTTACTATTAAAGCTGGAAAGATAAGTATAACAGTTCTAACCTCCAAGGTTGTTGATGAACGTGTCACCATTGATGCCTGTGTAATTTCCGCAATGTGTCTCATTCGGGTTTGTCCCATTGGGTCTGGGGACGGGGTAAACGAGGACATTTCCTGCAGGTATGCTGACACACTGAGGGTCAACGATGAATGTACTTAGGATCACAGACAACATGCAGACAACACAGATCTGAAATGGACATACAAACTACATAAACAATTAGTTTTGATATGTACATGCAGCCATGTGCAGTTTTCTATTTCTGTAAGAAAGAGCTATTTTACTTCTAGTGAATGGTTATTGGCCATTGTGTAGTAGTGTACCAAATGAAAATGGAGAATCATTTAATATTCATAAAGCATAACAAAAGGGATTTCCAGAGAAAAATCCAGAAGACAAAATACTGAAGGGCGTTAAAGATTTCTGACCACAAATTCCTAATTATAAGAGAACTTGGATATTGAGTGAATGTTTCAAAGTTTCTTGCATTGGTGTTTCATTGTTTTCTTATTTCAACATTTTTACAAAACATTTTTAAGAAAATGTAACTCACAAACAAGATGAAGACGCAGGTCCTGGCAAACATGGATCCGCCAACAATACAGACGAGAAGGCAGAATAAGAGGACAATCGATTCATAGAGGTATGGGTACCAGTAAGCGTTGCTAGGTAGGGCACCTTCCACTGTACGACCTAAAGCACAAGAAAACATGATTGATTATATACAGTACATGAACTTTCTACCTCTTTATCACCTCCACTTCCAAGTTGTCCCATCACTCTCATGTAAACACCACTTAATTCTCTGTTTTAGTGTGTGTATAATTTTCTAATGTCATTTTCTTTTCCATGCATTCATTCTTATGCCACCCAATATGAAGTTTCACCAAAATTATGTCTGATTGGGATTAACTTTCAATTAGCCAGGGACTTACCTATGATCTTGCTAAATCAAAACATTTCAATCTTACAAAACATTGTTTCCCCTTGTTCAACAAAACTAATATTATAGCACTATATAAAGTCTACATATCTCAAACCTACAAATTGAGGCAGAGACACATTTAACCAGAAAATGGCAACTCCACGGAGTAGCAAAACCCAACGAACACTATATAAATCATGAATGTGTACAGTCACAATGTAATATTTACCATCTACTCTTCCCTTCAATAAATATTTGAGATCATTGTAGTGTCATTTTACCATACTTTCAAGATAACTCCATGTAATGGCGAATTCCTGCTCTAGGAAGCCATTTTGAATTTTCTGAGGCACAAATCCGAAAAACAATACCATAACCGTGATCTACTCTGAAATTCCTTCAATTTGAATACAATATAGCCATACTTTAAGAGATCAAAAATTAATTGCAAAATCCCACATTAGGCGGCCATTTTGAATTTTACGAGGCCCGAATCAGAAAAACAAACAATATTTGCAATCTACTCTAAATTGCCTTTCATTTGAGTATAATAAAGCTATACTTCAAAAACATCTCAAAATTAATGCAAATTCCTGTTTTTCAAACCCCCCATTCACGGCACCTGGGGGTCAAGGTGAAAAACATGGAGTATAGGTGAAATAGATAGATCTTGTGAATATCGTACTACCAAAATTTCAAATAATAATATTTATTATTTTTGTTTAAAATGAAAAACATAAGACTTTTGCAAAAAATTCCCGCAACATTTAAACTGGTGGCCATCTTGAAAATTTATTTTTGCGTAAAACTATTCACCAATATACATCTTTCCACCAAATATGAAGAAAATCTGTCAACTAGTTGGGATAATAAACAAAGAACTTACCATCAGGTCCAAAGTTATCCAACACCCCTTCCACAAATCCAGATATGTACATGGCAGCTGCAAATATGTTGGCTAAGAAGAATAGCAGACCTAAACTGCCTCCAAACTCTGGGCCAAGAGCACGGCTTATCATATCTAGCATACGCTAAGGAAATAATTTGAGGAATGGTAATAGCTTTGTTTAGCAAATGCAACTCCAATATTTTATTTATTCTTGGGAAACTGCTGAGCCAAACAATCTGAATTCCATAAATTTATTATATGGAAATATACTGAGGGAGGGACTGCCTAAATACCTTTACTTTACAAAAATGCCATTATTGATATTGTATAAGATATTGTAGTGTGACCAGATGATGCAGACCATAGTGATATCTAACATTTTGTATAGAAGTTTTAAAGGATACAATATGCCCCACCCCCTTCCACTGCTCCATTGGTTGAAATGGCACACACTGAGAGGATAGTAAAGGCAAGGATCAGGTAGGCCAGGCAAAATAGTGCAATTGTTTCCAGTATACCTGCTTGGCCAACAACAAATCCTGAAACATAAGAACAAAACATTATTTTGAGCAGTTATGGGAAAATGTTAAACATTATGGGGATAAAGGCTAGATATGTGTATAAGGATTTATTATCAACGATCTAAAGTGAAATCCGTGTAATTAGATCGTTTTTCTTAGAGAATGAGAATGTATCATGTATAGATATTTTTCATCACTAATTCTTGGAGATTAACAAAAAAGAGATAATTAGAATGACAAACATTTCAAGAACTAAGCGAATAAAACGTCAGAATGAACTATTCTTGAACTATTTTGATGAGCAATTCCCATTGAATTAAACAGATTTTACAAAAAGAATGTACATGTTCAATGTTCATGGTCATCCAGTCTATGAAATAGGAGATTTAGAAAGGATATCATTCCATTGTAAAGTGGAACACTTACAAAGGTGTCTCACTAGAGAGGTTTTACTGCATATGGTTTTCATTCTAGTTTGAATTATAGAAATGTATGGGTTATCCTAACATTGTCCTGAATTGACCGCGAATGTCATTGACACACTGAGATAGATACATGTATGAGTCATGACTGTCATCGATGGTTCTAATTTGTCCCAGAATATATTACCTAAAACTTTACAAAAAAGAATATTTCCTTTTCAAACACTATATTATATGATTGAATAAAAATGAATAAAAAAGGACCATGACTCGCTGGATTCAATTTTGTCACATCTAAAGTCAACAATTCTTGCTTATATTTATAAGTCTATGCTTTTATACATGCTGACCTTGAATCCCTTTTACATTTGGTTTACATCTTGTATGATAAGACAATACATCATTTATCTTAAAATAGAATAAGTTATCATATAGACATGTAAATATGAAATATAACTACATGTATCTTGTTCACATGTGATATTATAGATCATCTAAGGACCCCCTCCCTCTCCAGTCTATTGTTGTATAGAGAGACAGTGCAAGTTAATCAAGAGTTTATCCTCTAGCTTCAGACATTTCTTATAATCCAATATTTATTGAATACAGTAAACTGAATGTTTTATTCGGTACTGTGAAATATTCTTTCATCTTGATTTAAAAAGATGGAAAAATTACCAAATTTGGGTCAAATGCCATCTGTGGCGAGGATGCCTGTCCAATATTTATATATAATCCCCTGGAGCTTCCCCCCCCAGGTTGTGCAACAAGTATACAGAATAGCAACAATTGCTATCCAGGGTCGTGTAACATTTCCCTTCAGTCCACTCGAGGCAATCTGCGCGAGGTTCCATTTTTGGTTCAGTTTTTGGCGCATACACATTAAATCCAGCAATTTAATTTGTTCAAATTATTATAACGCATGCACAATTTTATTAACTTATGTTTATTATTTCACAGCAGTCCCTACCCATAATGCATGTTATATTGCGGGAATATTTTTGTTTAGTGTCAAAACAAAAAGTATACACCCAACACAAGTGCAATGACATAATATCAACCTGTCCCAAATTTGTAGATGTTTGTTGTACGAACTAAAACCGAACTGATCACTAGTGGTGTCGCGATTAATCGATACATCGCGATATACATCGCCAAAGCTGGTTCTGGCGATGCATCGATGTCTGAAACAAAACATCGATGTTTTTAAAAAACTAAAAATCGCCCTTTCTTATCTTATTTTGACGCAAATTGCTTACCTTTTTTCATGTCTTATTTCATTTTCAAATGTTTTCTGATATTCTTTCGCTTTAAAACTGTTTTAGCTAGTCGAAATGAACCATTAATCTAAAAAAATTACTTTACTTTCATTTCACCGTTACTATGTTCCCGGATGTAATTTGTTCTGTTCGATATTTTAGTGCATAAGCGTTCGGTATTTCAGTGCACTTTTCTCGAACTTTTTCTCGATGTACATCGCGATATGCATCGATGTTTACTACTGAAAATTGCCGATGCATCGATGTACGATTATGGCACATCGCGACAGCACTACTGATCACAGAAAAGCAATTTGAATCATGGGAATGAAGTACTTCCCTAATGTAAAAACGAACCAGGTCAAAACCAAACCTCACGCAGATTGCCCCAACTCCAGTCTTATTCCATTTTCTAAAAAGAATTGAGATATCTGATCAAATAAAGAAGTTATAAAATGCAGAAATCATTATAACTGAACACGGATAGTGGGAAGTCCTCCACCTAGGAGGTATATACTTAGCAGTTATGTCCCTATCATTGAATATATGCCTGAGGTCTGTCACCAATATAGCCCGAGCTTGCGAGGGCTATATTATGACAGACCGAAGGCATATATTCAATGATACGGACATAACTGTTGTATTACATACTTTTATATCATGGATACGTTATATCAATGACGCCACGTGTCTGTGTGCGAGTAAAATTAGGAAGAAATGAAACATGACGTCCCGATGACGTCATAAGATTGTCATGGTAAAAAGTTTGACGGCTATACAGGAATATATAGCCGACCTTCAGCTCCATTGACTTCAATACAAATGCTTCACTGGGTATGTAATACACCAGGTAATGCAGGTAAAAATTTAAAAAATATGAAAAAAATATGGTCACCTGTCCTCTAGATTCAATTTTTGAATGAATCGTAGCATGATGTACAGATTATTTGATATCATGCTATTCTTGAAAGATTTATACGCAAAAATAACTGGGTCGCTCACCTCTTATGCCTATATGTGTTCAGAAATCATCAATTCTCGTGAGTAAAATTTCTCCAGGCCATTGAAAGTTCCGCTCAGTAAATTGACAATTTCTACTGTGCATGTGTCAATGACCTACTTCCGGTTGTGAAACACTGGACGAAATGGTTTGGTAAATTTCAAGCTATTTGATTGGTCGAAGAAATCACGATGATTTGCTTTATTCTCGCGAGATACGGCGCTCCGTCCCCTTAAATTTTTATTTTGAACAACCATTATGATTTGGTGCATTATCTGACCAATAAAGCAGATTTGGAGGTATGAATATTTTTTTTATTTTTCTGTTTAGTGTTTTCTACAGGCCCTATGTGTCTCAGGATATTTGTTTAAGGTTCAGCTGGAAAGTAACATTTTGGTAAAAAATTGCTATACCTGCACATGTTATTTTCTGGTACAAAATTAAGTATGAAGGCATGTGTGTATTTCCTTGCTTTTTTCAGGAAAGTATCATGACACTGTCTACTTTTAGTAAACCTGGAAACAGATCAATGGAAGCTCCTGTGTTGTCTGGAAACTTTGAAAGAAAATTTGGAAAAATAGAAAGTGTGAAATATCAGAATTTCCTGGAGTTCCCATTGAACTCCTACTAGATATTCTTAAAGAAGACAATGTAATGAAACTTTCCTGAAAAAAGCAAGGCAATTGACACATGTTTTCATACTTTATTTTGTACCAGAAAATAACATGTGCTGGTATAGCAATTTTTTACCAAAATGTTACTTTCCAGCTGTACCTTAACGAAAACTAGACAAATAATTTATACATATTTTTTATTTTGGATGGAAGCTGCGTTACCTGAGAAATAATATAAGTAATATATGGAGGACTTCCCACTATCCGTGCAACTGAATTTATGGAGCGACATCGTTTTTCAATTTTTGACAGAAAACCTAAAACCAACCCATGGTTATATGCTACAGCATAGGTACAGAAAATCTTACCCAAACGTAGAAATAGCACAGTGCTAAACATAGACAATGCCACTGGACTGAAAACGCCCGCAAATGTTGAGAGGTTCCTCCTTGAATTTGGGTGATCAGAATTTTCATCTTTTCCATTTTCAAATTCTTCAACTTCAGGCCGTTGCTGTAGAAGAGGCGTCTGCTCATCCATGATGTCGTCCTGTGCATTGATACTTGACCTGTTCATCGCATTATTTTTTGTCGATAAATGGGCACTCGTTGACTCATTATCAGCTGTTTTGTCACAGATTTGTCCTCAGTCAACTCGGTTTGTTATTTTTTAGGTCAGGTCACGTGAGGTTTTTAACACCGGAAGTGATTTAATGACGACATCCGGTAGAGATTAAAAAATCTCGGAAATTATTTGGAGGTTTTGTTCTATTTTCTCTTTAGTTACAAAACTGATTGATTTCAAATAAACGACAATAGATGCTTTACGTAGTTGTGCAGTGAAAATAGTATGATTGATTTGCTCAGGAACTTGAATTTGTATGCATTGAATTGATATATGAAAAGATTCAATATTTTCCAAAACCATCGTTTGTTGCACACGAACTGATCTGCAGTTCTATTTTTATCCCTTAGCAGAGAGGCTAGACTCAACTGCTAGTTGGAACATTATTTCAGCTCTTCATCCACAGCTAATAATACAAAGTCACTCAACGCTTACAGCACAGTTCAACCTCAGCTCTTCTGTTAGTCTTGCTGCAGAAAATATTTGAGAAATAGAAGCCAGTAGCAAATATATAACAAAACAGTGAACGAGGAGCATTATAGTTACAGTTTACATCAACATTGGAGCATTAATCTTAATATCGATTTAAAGCAATGTCATTGGTAAGTACAAACAACTGTATACAGTGTAGAATGAATTATATACTGTTCAGTTATCTTCATCTTTTGTCGGAGTTATTTTGTTTTTGTTGGTGACAACTTCTTGTTAATTTCTCAAAAAATAAAGCTTTAATTAGTATAGTGAAATATGTAGATGTAGATGACATACCATACATTATATGAGCATTCCATTCCTTACAGAATTAGAATTTAGATAACCAATAACATGAAACACAGCGTAATAAGATGGCATTAAAGTTTTGTCTTCACAAGAACTCAATACGTAGATCTACCAGTATGAAGAATACACTTATTTTGATATGTTTGACTTCACAAAAAAACTCAATATAGATCTATCTTTCAGTAAAACAATTGAAATCTGGTCAGGCCTTTATATTATGAGACAAGTTGCAATTACAGTACTGGTACTACAATGTATATGTCATCTATGAGTACACTACATATACACGAACAGTAATACTGTACACATGGAAATGTACATAATTCATATTTATCTATCTAGTGTGGTACTAAAATAGATAAATACAGCAGACTATTTAGCAGTTCTGATTTAAAAAAATCTTATGCAGAGAAAAGTATGAACATGTTACCACACAAATCAATTAGAATAAAACTATGAAGTACTGGTAATACTAGTGTAGAAAGTTAGTTATCTTGCCTTGTTTAGTGACTTGGTCCAAAGTATTAAACATCCTTACTCGTGCCTTAATAATACCTGATACACTTTTTGCAGAAAGAAACCTCCCCAGAGCAACAGCTGCACCTGGCAGCCTTGCAGGGAAACTTAGAACAACTTAAGAAAGTTTTAGAATCCGGCAAAGTTCATGTGGACTGTAAAGACAAGGTATGTGTATGCAAATTATGCTGGTAGGAGATTTAAATTTATTGGTGTTCCATAAAAAGGTAACATCCCCTCAACAATCCATATCATAATTTTTACAATGATTGACTGTTTTTGGATTGTTTTGTTTAGTATTGGCACTATTTGATTGATTGTTTATTAGGATTTACTGTTTTGGGATATTTATGTCACCACCAGAAGTGACATATTGTTAATTGTCTCCAACTTTTCTGTGGATGTTGTATGTGTTATAGCCTCTCAGTATGCCCTGTGTTGTATAATTTCCCTGTAATGTTTATGTATACATACATGGAACACCCTATATACATGTTGCAAAAGGGTACTCATTACATAATTGGTGTTTACTGAAGAATTGCATTCAGTTATTTAGTATCCAGTGTTGCAATTATTTTTCCTATTCATCCTCAAAATACAGAACAATTTGAGAAAGAAGATTGAGCCCTGTTGTCGGAGGATTCCAATTGAAAGAAGATAACAACTGAACAAATGCTAAATTTGAAGATATCCAACCTTGCTTGTATTTCACAGTACTCATGTCTAGAATTAATTGTATCTTTGCTCACAGTCAGGTAAACAACAGTTTCAGCCTAATATAGATCAACATTATGGAGCCGGAGCATCCTGATCTGGTGCTATATTCGTTGCAACATGTGTATTGTATGATATAAGGGTTTGTTCACTTAAAGCTAAATTACTGGTTGTTGTCTACATTTGGTACAGGGAGTATCTCATAGGTGGACAGGGAGCATCTCATAGGTGAACAGGGAGTATCTCATAGGTGAACAGGGAGCATCTCATAGGTGGACAGGGAGCATCTCATAGGTGGACAGGGAGCATCTCATAGGTGAACAGGGAGCATCTCATAGGTGGACAGGGAGCATCTCATAGGTGGACAGGGAGCGTCTCATAGACTCAGAGATTGATTCTTTAATAAAAAGCATTCATTTATTAACCTCTCAGCCCATCTCTCTGGTAGAATGAACTCTTAAACTCCTTTAAAAATTGGACAGCCTGCTCATCGATAGATTTCTTGATTGAAATGAAGGCGTTGAAGAACCACTGATAGATAATTTGTAGTGTGATCTATCATAGCGTTGTAAGATAAGCACTATAAGCAACATTTGCTGTACTCAGGTGATTTTTCACCAATCTTTTTTAGAAAAATATTGCATGCATCATTAGGCATCTACAACAGTATTTAGTTATTTCAAGGTTGTAGAAGGAGTCAGAAATTGTGTTTGGTTAAAAATGATGAGTGGCTCTTACACTTGAACCTGCTAGTGCTTGATGTGCTAACTTGGAGATAAATGCCAGGTTCAGTTCTATTCCCCTCAGCTATTTCTCTGATTATTTACATAGCTGTTGCAAAATATAATTTTAATGTATGGTACCTTGTGTTTTGGTAGATTAAATGTTTATATGTTTCCAGGATATAGCATATCAAGTATGATTAACATTTATCATATCCTGCAGATTTCAACATCTTGCTTCATAGATTATAGTCGTATAGGCTGTCATGTTGTTTATCAAATATTTACATCATGGTTGAAAAAACTCAATTTGTAGGAGGGAGGTCTAGTGTTAAAACATAATGCCTTAACTTTAATTGTATGGATACACACTACACAGCAGCTTTGTATAAGAAGAACTGTTTTCATCATAATAGCTTTAGACTAAGCTTCTCCACCACTTTCACCAGACCGCATAGTTATTCCTCCAAATCCCCCTTCCCCAACCAATTCTGAGGCACGTTGGGGAGAAAAGTAACTAACAACAATTGGCTCAAAAAAGGGCTGCTGTTACCCCAATGCAATTCTCCCTTTGAATGCTCATGGTTGAACATGGAGGCTCTTACACATTAATCCTTATCCTGATAGAAGCCCAACATTTGTGATAAAGTTATATCTGTCAGGATAACCCTGGTAAAATTAATGTTCACAAATAATAGACAACTGGAAATGATCATGATCTATGTTTCAGTAATCAATCCAATGTTAAGCCTATTTTAGTGATTTTATTATCTCCCTCTATTTTGACAAACAGCAAGTTCCAGATATTTTATGGTTAGTTAGTTTGTATTCAAATGCACTGAATCCATCAACATCAGGTTAACAGTCAGGTCAAAAGCATATTGTTACTCTACCCTGAGATCCCATTAGCTGGGCTATCCTACCCTCTTACTACATCTGATGATTTGAATGTTTTTATACTCATCCGATCTTAATGATCTCAGTTATTGTTTTGATCGCTTTTGTAGGGTTTGTAGAGGTTTGCATGTGAAATGAATATGAATTTAGTTGTAGATTTAGGTAAAACATGTAGCTTTGTGATGTAAGATATACAAAATAGGTAACATCAATGAATTATTTCTCATTATAAGAGTATAGAAAAAATGCTGATATTGTGAAGGGTATATAGAAAAATGGAAAGCAAATTAGGAAGTAAGAACAGGTTAGCAGTGATCAGGCCAGAGAATGTCCATTCCGTTGATTCCATTCCGGCATCATTTGGAATAACAAACAAGGTTAACGTAGCATCTCCGTCAATGTTAACAGACCAGTTAAATGCTGAGATGCATCCAATCAGATGTTTATCGGTTTTTGTTTATTCTACTAAATATTTGACAGGTGATTGTTGACTCAGATTTTTTATCTGAATCATCCTAGATGTTGGAAGTAAACTGCAGTATATCCTAAGGGCAGTTTTACTCATTGGAAGTAAACTACAGTATATTCTAAGGGCAATTTTACTCATTGGAAGTAAACTGCAGTATATCCTAAGGGCAATTTTACTCATTGGAAGTAAACTGCAGTACATGTATATCCTAAGGGCAATTTTACTCATTGGAAGTAAACTGCAGTACATGTATATCCTAAGGGCAATTTTACTCATATTAGTTACATTGACATTGATCACAAGTTGGAAGATCACATGATCAGTTACAAATACATAAACTGTACATTAAATCTGGTCACCCTTCCCCATTTACTTCTGTTATCTAATGAATGGTTCAAAACATGATATTTGGGAATAATTTCAGCCACAATGTTAAAAGTTAATACATGCACTGTTAGGAACACAAAGACTATCGCGATCATCCCAGAAACTAACACTGCACCTTTCAGCATCACTCATTTTGATGCCAGGCTGTTGAAACCGAACCAGAGTGCCATAAATTGTAATCATCCATTTGTACTGATATCTATTTCCAATGTGAGACAACAACAACAGGATCTGTTTATAGTGTTGTCTATAGTATTTGAAATAATATGTTATTGTTTAGAAAGTTTGAAGGTTGCACTGAATCTGTTGCAACCAGTCTATCATTGTGATAGATTGTGCCATGTGGAGTCATATGTTGCCTGCCATACTTCAAAGGTAAAATATTAAGTTGGTTAATGCCATAATTCCATAGTAGAATGTTACCTTGCAACGCTATTTGTTGTGTCTCTCTAAGATGTTCTTATTATTTTTTGCGATACATCTCATAATTTTATTGACCTGCAGCTTTCAGCATGGAGTCAGCTTATGTATCTATGCTCAATTAAGGTAGTCAGTGACAGAAGTGACATTGTCTTGTTAATGTTTGGTTGTGTTTTTTATTCTCTTATTTGTTATTATCTGAATGGACAGTATTCACAGTTCACACATAGGGAGACAAGGTGTGTCCGATTCCAGTCAATCCAAACACAGTATTTCATATAATTGCCCTGCATTATAACCAATCACTGCACTCAAGGTCATTTGTTGAATGGTTGTCAAGGTGACAACTTGACTACAGATTGAAATTGATGCTTTGACTCTTGCAAAAGGTTTCATTGAAAATATGTTATTCTAGTGATTTTGTATCTTTTAAGTGATAGAAAATATTTTGCAATGTTTGAAAAGAATTTAAGCCCAAGACTCAATGCATCGTGGCTGCTTCATTCCACTCAGGCATTGTTTCCTAAATTTTGCATTCCCGCTGCATGGTCATGCAAAGATTTCAAAACAACGCCTTCAGAGGGAGCACACAATGCACCGAGATCAGGGCTTAAATCATTCATATCATGAAAAAGATGATTATACAATGACAGTAATGATGGTAATTTTAGCACATCATGTTTGGCAGTCATATTTGATTCTGATGAAATGATAGAAATGACACAACAGTGACCAATTTTATTGTAATATTGTAATTGTATGTATAACCCTTTTGGATGAAATATATTTTTCTGATTTTGGCAGTGTTGTCCATTCAGAAATCCTCTTTATCTAAAAAGCTTGTCTCTTCCTCCGAGAAAATAGAGACTAAAGAACCCACTTTGGTATTGTAAAACAAAGTCTGACCACATGAACATAGATTTAGAGAGTTGATTACACCTGCCTTCAAGGTGATCCCTGTCTGCCAGCCTGCTTACTTACCATGTATAGTTTAGGTGCATAACCTTGCTAACCAGGTAGACCAGTGCATTAAGTTTGGCTGCAGAAATCCCTGATTCATGGAATCCTAGTCTAAAATCAGTATCATGTTGTTATATCATAAGTTACAGAACTTGAAAAATTACAGGACAGTATTAATTTGTTATCCCTTTCAAGAGTCTGATTTCTGTATTTACGGTCTAATGGCAGGGGCGGATCTGGGAATCAACAAGGAAAAAGATTTTGGGCCCCTAAAACCAAATAGTGGCTCATTTTCTTCAAAATTTGGCCTAAAATTGAAAAAATGAGGGCCAGTAATGACCAAAAAGGCCCACTTTTTGGGACCTAAGGACTTTTTTGGCCCAATTCTTTTTGGGCCCAAATTTTTTCTGGGCCCACCCAAGGGGGGGTTACCAATCAGAGTCCCTGTTACCTCATTTTCTGCTTCCATAAGTAACTGGCATCTATTTCATATTCAACTTACATGACATGCCATTATAGCTACTTTTTAGATTATAAAGATCTTATTCTTTGGCACCTATTCTAGTCAGGGGGAAGTTACTTACATCTGGGCATCATGG